GCCGCTCTCCCGGCCTCGGTCCGCTGCGGGAGGGCAGCTCTGAGGGGGAGCCGTCCGTGCCTGCAAGAGCCGCTGGGCTCCCCCGGCTGCGAGCGCGGGTCTTCTCACCGGGGCTGGTCCGGGCTCCTCCGAGGCACGGGGCGTGTGGAGGAATGAACACTTTGAAAGTCGGGAGAGGTGGTAGCCCTGGTTTCTGGGGGTGGTACCGGTGGCTAGGGACAGCTGGAAGGCGGTAAAATGCCTCCAGCTCGCCGGCCGGTCGCTTCGGGTCTCGGGGCCCTCGCAGAAGGACGTGAGAATTTCCTATTGCTTGGAGCTGGTTATTCTCCGGAGGCTTAAACTGCTGTATTTCATACATAGTGCGTTTTTTAATAAAGAGTGGTAAGTCTGTAAACTCCTACGATGGCTGCTTTCTATTAGGAATATTTCTGGAGTGGAAGAAGAGCAGGCAAAGGCAAATGAACCTATTCCTAGCTTTGATCACAAGTAATCTTTTAGTTCTGGTATTTTTCATCTGTCATAAAACGATGAGACCTATGAACCCCTGGGAACACTGAAAACCTATCTAGATTTAGTCTATACTTCACCTCTGCAGTATCGGTTGGCCTGCCCGGGGTGACCTTCTGAGGCAGCTCAGGGGGAGGAGAAGACAACGCAAGGCAGCGGTACAGCCCTGGTGGCAGCTCGGCTGCTAGCTTCAGCAGTATGGGTCATAGCCAAAAACTAGCCCATTCCCCTGATACCACTGGCACATGTTTGTGAAGTGTCAGATCTGCTTAGAAGTAAACAACTCTCCAGATACCTTTTTTTCTTTCCGTTTATGAGCTTGCTGCTTATCATACAAAGCCTCTTTATCATACAAATTTACACCCTACGATTAGCTTGGAAAGATTGGCATGTGTTCTGATAACTTTGAAGAGCTACAGTTTGGCATTTTTTTCAGAACAGAGCTCCTCTTCATGCCTTCCAGGTGCTGGATGGAAGCAAGGCAAAATACACTTGCAGAGCTGAACCTCTTCCACTGCAGTTCTAAAGGTAATTGGTTTTGGTATTGGCAGCCTTCCAGGTAAAGTGGATTGGGTGCCTTGGACACTTGAAAGTATCTTGACATGGAGTACTGTCCATGATGATATTATTTCATGCTGTGAATGCTGTATCAATACTCCCTAATGCTTTCAAAAAAGGTATTTACTGCTATGAGGAATTTCCTCTCACCTTCCAGCACCTTCCTGGTAACAAATGTTAAAACACTGGTATGAATTTTATGTGACATCAAGTCGAGTTTAATGAATATTAACTTTAGAGTTAGAAGTACAGGGGAGGGGAAAAGAAAGAAAAATCAGACTTGCTTCAAACTTTAAAAACACATTTAGTTGGATTAACCTCTCCAAACAAGCCTGCTGGCTAATATTGGAGTATGTTTTGCAGCTTTTTTTCTAGTGACAAATATCATTATCTGATCATTTGTAGGGTGTGGAGTGAAGCAGGAAATGCTTATCTTGTTTCTGTATGAAATCAGAAGCTGTCTTCTGGGAAGTTTTTCTCTTTGGTTTAGACTTGAAAACTAGCAAGGGAACTGAGTGGGGTTAGAGGAGGTAACTGACAATGCAGAGACAGTCTGCTGAGAGTTGTTGATGCCATCAGATGTAGAAGAGAGTAAGAAGCTTACTGTTTAGTAAGTGGCACTCAGAACTTATTTGCCTTGTATATCTCTTTAATTTGAAAGTGCTGTAGGAGTTAGATAAGCTTTGGGTAGTTGAGTCAAAGTACTATTGCAAGGACTGTTCTTGTTTAGAATATGTGTGATCTGGAGTTTAAAATAATTTTGCATCATAAGTTCCTACTGTGATGGAAACTTAACCATGAGTTGTCTGTCAGTGGTCAGCAACATTAAATACCTTGTTTGGCTGTACTGCTATATGCAGAAGGAGGGAAGAAGGTCTTTAGAGCAATAACCAGTGTGTGTGCCATTTTGTTCCCAATTAGTCTTACCATTCACATTTATTTGTTAGCCCTGTGAAATACACCCTATTATGTCCTCTCCATGTGGCTGCCTCAGAGGCATGTTGTCCTAGAACAAGAAATTAAAAAGATTACTGTATATTTTTAAGCCACCTTCAGTCTCATTTGTTATCCTTGTTAACTCCTAGCACGGTCAGCACACTTGTCTTGTTTGCCTTTGTCTTTCCAGTGGGGATGATAACAGTTCTTTTGCTGTTAACCTGAATAACAACTAATGCTTTTTAAATAAATACATGTGTGTCTGTGTAAACATTGGCAGACCTTAGCAGAAGATCTCACATCTACAGCATGTGTGCTAAAATAAGCTATTTTCTCCCAACAGGAGAGGGAAAGGAATGCTGCATGCTTTCCTCTCTGTTAAGGTTCTCCTGCTTCCCCAGTAGTAATCATGGTGAAGTAACAAATTGGGATGGGAGGAATCTATTTGAAATAACTTTGTGCTATCCTGCCAAGTGAGATCCACCTGTCGCTGGAGGGTTTGACTCAGGACCTCAAAACCCCCATGCCTAATTTGCAGGGGAAGTGGCTACCTGAGAGTACAAAAAGTTAGACTCTGGAGGTTGCATACACAGAAGAGGACCAGTCTTCTAAGTGTGACAGCAAGGAATCACAGAGAGGAGTGTAGAGGTAAAGAAAAAGGTTGCTGTAACCTTTTCTACAGTGAAGGATTTTTGAAGGATGGTTGCAGCTGTTACACAGTGTAGGTGTTACAGTAATATCTGTGATAAGGCAGAATTGATATTTTTTTCTCAGACTTGCTCTTTCATGAAATCAGATTGCTTGGGCTTCCTGTGGACTTTTGAGTGTTGATTTTAAAATGTTAATGCTCCTGTATCATTTTGGGAAGATGTTGGAATGTTTTAAAGTTCATCTTCCTTCATGGATAATTCAGATTAGTGAGTTAAGTGATACTGAAAGTTTTCTTGCAGGTGGGATGTGAAGGTAACTGATAGCGAAGAATGAATTATGGGGAAACTACTGTAAAGATAAAAGACCAGTAAGAAACTCCCTTTTACAATTTGAACTTAATTTTCTTTCTTAATGCAGTACAGAATGAGTATTAAAATAATCTATTTGTGGATTTGACATAAGGCTGTTCTAAAGAATTGGGCATCCTTCCTCTTCAAATTTGTATTTCTCTTGATCTGTAATGTCAGAAGCACAGTTAATCACTCGGTAGTTGCTTTATAAAGATAGCTTTGATTACTCTGAGCTTCCTGCAACGAGCAGGTTTTGGCAGAATCAGCACCTGCTGAGTCCTGTTTCAGTATGAGCCACATCTACAGTAATCAAAGTGTTGTTGGGGAAGGGAGGGTCCAAGAACAATGTGAGAAACTGAGTTGGGAGGAAAATGAGACCAAAGTCTGTTTCTATCTTGTTTCCTTGTCCAAAATTCTGGATGTCTGAAACTTTAAAGTGGCTTAACTTCTGTTTGGAGCACACACTTTCACATTTGAAGTCTGAGAGTCACAGGTGTGTCATGCTTATGGAATCAAGGGACTTTTTCATGCCTCTTTTATTGAATTTGTTGGTAGCTCTTTGACCAAATAAACAATGGCTCTGAAAATAAGCATAAATGAACTGAGGAGCCTGATGCTGTTCATAAGGTGCCACTGGTCTCCCTGTTGTGGGTCAGTTTGTCAAAATAGTATTTTTAAATTTCAATCAGAGAAGCCTCATCAGAGATCTTGGTGGGCTTTTATTCAGTCTGAATAAAAAGCCTTTGCTTTTACAGTATCTGTGGGACAGTAATATTTTTGTAATTGCAGCTGTTTAGATACCACCCCAGTGGTCTGAAAGCATCCTGTGCCAGCTCATCAACTTTAAATTTGTTTCATCTGTTGAATCCTGGGTTGTGGCTATCCTCTGTGAATCCACAGAGGCTTTACATGAGGCTCCTGATTCATCTTTTCTTGAGATGGTGTTACCTGAACATCACTGCCTTGTTTGTCGCTTGCTAGGAGTGAATTCAATACTGCTGGTACCTGTTCTCAGGAGATTTTCAGCTGTGGAAAATGCTTTCTCATGCTCCTGGTCTGTTGGAGCCTGTTTGGCTGCCTCCAAGACCCATTTCCAGATATGCTTTAACCTTGGTGCTATTATGGCTGTAGTTGTGGTAGTCTATCATGAGTGTTGATCTAGGTTAGGAGTATGGTAATTCTTTTTTGTTAAGAATAATTCTGTATTTTGCATCTCAACTTGTTGTGTTTCTCCAATGGTATAACAACAAGAACTAATGAATGCCATAAATCACTCCATTGTTTTTGCAAGACTGTAAAAGGGGGTCCTCTCTTTGATTGAAATAACTGGAGCACTACAAATAACACTGTGGTTTGCATTCTGTACTTAGAGTTATAAAGTTTAATGCAGGGGTGTGCTTTTGCTGTGTGCTCACCTGAAGCCTGGTACAGCAGGTTCTTGCAATCTCTTGAGACTCTGGGCACTACCTGAATGTATGTGGCAACGTTTATGTGATTTCTGAATATAAGTGTGATTGTGTTTCTTTTCAGCTGCAGAACAACCTGGCTCAAGCAAGACCCAGTTTTGAAGCAGATGGTAGTACCTGGACTCTCTGCTTAAACAGTTTTCTTCCATTGATTTCAAACGCACAAACAAGGTATCTTCTTAACAGAAAAAGACATCTGTACTGTGTTCCCCAAGTGCTTCCTGTACGTGTGTGTGCTTGTTTTCTAAATATACCCTTCCTTCCTTTGGGAAGCAGATTAGAATGAGAGGGGAGTTACGTCTGGGTAGTGGATTTTGGCATGTTTGTATATGGAGTGTTAGGAAACAAGATGAAAAGTGATTTAAGATCTGGATGAAGTGAAACTTAGGGTAATTGTTCATTCTTCACTTGGCATTGTTTGCAAGTCGTCTTTATGATAAATCCTTTTGTTCATCCTTTTGAAGATAGTTGTAGAGGCCACAATAGCAAAAGGGAAAGGCTGTAACTATACCTTCCCACACAGGCTCTGAATAATATGTATGTTAAATATTGTCTCAACACTGAATTATGATGATGATAATGAAATACAGGATTTCAACAAAACTGTAGCTAAGACAGAAACTTGCTCTTTTTTTTGCTTGCAATATGGATTTTGCTGGGTTACATTACTCTGTAAGCAAGAATCCTAACCTGACCAGAGAAGGACAGATCAGAATTTGAACTGTTCCCTGTTTTCTTCAGCTTTTGTCAGACTGCTAGTCAGACAGTAATTCCTAGAGAACAGTCTGTTACGGTTGAGAGGGATGTAAGAAGTGCTCTTTGTCAAAGGTTTGGCTAGTGTGCTCTGAGCACCAAGTAGTGTTCTACTCCCACCTCCATGCACTCAGCCAGAATAGATTATAAAGTGGGTGGACAAGTTGATTTGATGGAAGCAGGGGTTCAAAGCTTTGGGCCGTGTTGTAAAATGACCTTAAAATGACAGCAGTTAGACATTCATCTTGAACCTGACGTGTCCACGGGCCATTTTCCTCCAGAGCAGTTCATCCAGTCTCTGAGCTTGCTGTCTGGCAGGGTGAGCGTCCTCAGAGCCCGCAGTGTCCTTGTCACCAGAGGTAGTTTTGCAGCATGCAAAACACCTTAGCATTACTTGGATGGTTGAGGCACACTGTCTTTCATTGCCATCAGAAACTCTTATGTATACGCTCGCAGAGGCACAACTATTTCTTTGAAAGCTTGAAAAACCTCTAAAGCATTTGTCTGGGCTAAAGGCATTTTCTTGTTATACCAGCTGTTACTTAAGTACCAGTTCATTATAACAAAGTGAATAATGAGAATGAAGCTGTGATACCTTTAAAGCAAAAGCAATGTGGACTGAAGTGAATTGCACAATGATGTGAAATAGCAGATCAGAAGGGTAATAAGAATCTAATATAGCAAACATTTCATGCCCGTCTGGTAGCAAATTTGGCCACGACTATAGGTTGAAAACATTAGCTTTTCAGTAATTTGGTTTCTGTACACAGAACTAGTGAACTTCCTGGTTCAAGGAAGCAGTTCTGTGTAATTTAGAAATTGAGTCAGACTAAAGGAAATTGAAATAATGTAGTGAGTTTCTAAACACTACTAAATATCATAGCCAACTGGTAAGTGCGGGAGATGGTTATGAAGGAATATTTCAGCTGTGCTAAGATGCAGGATTTCTCTCCTGTCTTTTTGCTAATATTTAGTCTGTTACAAGCTCTGAAACCATGTAATATTTGAAATGGAATAGAACCTGTCTAGGTATGACTTGTTGACTTGCAGGAGTTGAGGTCATTTAAATGGCTTGTTTGATGCCTGGAAATGGAGCACCTCCTTCAAGCAGACCAGCTCCATCTCTGAGCAGGTTCATATGTGTTATTTTGACACCAGTTCTAAATAACTTCTAATGAAGGCTGAACTAAAACTGGGGACAGCTGGAACTTGCTGTCAAAGGCTAGCCTTCTCTTTATGTTAAAATTTGAAACTGTATGTGTGCCAATTTAAGTTAAAAAGAAGCTGTTGCTTTAGAAGTTGGTAAAATTTATGCCTTTATATTTCTTACTGTATTTGAGAACTTACATATGTCATCCATCATGATTTCTTAACACGTTCTGCTTAAGACTTGAAAATGAGGATTTACTATTGTCTTGAGGCTTTGAGTGATACATTTTTAAGTGTTTCAGTAAGTTGTTAGAGAAAGGGCTTTCAAAACAGCACTTGCCTTAAATTTTCAGATGTGTGAGTTCTAAGTGATGCTCATAATAGCTATCGCTGACAGATATTGACAAGAGAAATACAGTGAAGCAAAGAAAAAGTATTTCACGTGTTGGGAGATTGTTGTGTAATGTTTTGTGCCTGGGAAAGGCACAAAAATGGCTATTCACAAAGGCTCTCTGTTAAAGGAGACTTGCCAGAAAGTTTTTTGTCATCGTTGTTTTTAGGGCTTGTTCTTCTTTCATTAACAGTGTTATTATGATTATGCTATTTCTAGGGATTTAGGTTTTTCTTTAGTACAAGATCTTTAGTTATGAATTTACTTTCAAATTCTTCTGGCTGTAAAATATCTTAACTGTGCTTTGCTACTGCCCTGAAGACTTTGAGCTAGGATTTTTAACTGTTAGGGCCAACTTGGCAAGATGTGACTGGTGTGAAGAAATGCTCATGTGAGTATAGTATGGAGTCTTTCAACCTCTTTGGAGATAGGTTAGCTATGAAGCAGCTTCTGACAGAGAAAGCTTATGACAATGTTTTTATTTAGGCCTTCCATAAGAATATGCAGGTGTTTTTTTTCATATTCTGCCATATTATCTTGCATCAGTGAATTGTTATCTCTGACTAAGCTCCTGTAATATCTGCAGCTAGTAATGCATGAAACAAATATCTAAATGCCATAAACACCGCTTGTTTTGGAGCATGATTTATCCACTGATCTGTGGCTTAGAAAGGCACATCATGGTTCTGTGAGAAATGGGTTTTTTTCTGGCCTTTTAGCAGTGTAAACTGAACTAGATTGCTCCTTTGACCTGTTAACTTCCTGTGGTTGCTTTGTTTCACTGGGTTGTTTAATACTTCCCCACACCTTCCTCCTGTTTTGGAAGCTCATTTTCTTAAATTGACTTAAAAAAAAAAATCTACTTGTAAGACAGTAGAATAGCTCAAATAATAGCGCCCTGGTGAGGGCTGTAAATCCTGTCGTGCATCAGGGCACGCATTATGTTGTGGGTAGCTCATCATAGCTGTTGACAAGGATATTCCCGTGCTTTGCTTTAGCGTACTCCGAGAGGAGGATTCAGTATAGATGCATAGTTAGTTTCTTCTGATTTTACATTTGTTTATCAAGCCTCCCCAGAACTGTTAATTAGCACCCAAATTGTCTTTTTAGGTTTCCTCTAATATTTGGGGGAAGAGATGGCAGCCTACGGAAAGATGGCAGCCTGTGATGAAGACAAGCAGAGAAACTTTTGGATAGCTTAAGAACATAAACACACAAGAGCATGTTCATTTTCTCCTGAAGTGAAGTAATTGATTGTGTGTTAAAGGCACCTTTATGTTCTGCCACACAGAGATGGTCAGCAGTCAGGCTCTCCCCATAGCAGACAGTGGGAAAAGGAAAAAGAAAAAAAGAACAAGAGCCACAGATCACGTCCCTGGGAAGTTTGAAGGTTGGTGGCAACTTGTAAGCTTTTAATTGTAATGGTCTGTTTTTCCTCTTTTGTTCTCTGTTTTCTTAGCTAAACATTGCTTTTTGGCAAACATTATGTTAATATTTCTGTTTTTCTTTATTCCCTATATTTCAGTCTTCAGTCTCTTTTTTTTTTTTCTCTTAGTGGTGAAATCTGTGTTCTATCCATAATCTGTTTTAGTGGTGTGGGTTTTTTAGCAGGAACAGTGCTGATGTCAAAATGTTTTGATTGAATAGATGTGAACACAAATACTGGGAAGCATTGTAGGTAAAATACAGTTCAGTGCGACAAAGCTGACCAGTAGAAAACTTCTTAGTGGGCACATAGCCTTGTAAGGTATGTTGCAAATCAAGATGGTAGCGGTCTTCTAGGTTTAAACCTTCAAATTTCAATTATACTTAAAACACTATCTCTGCAAGCAGATTTTGCATGGTGGGCATTTTCTGATCAAGGAGTGAAATGTTTTCCACCTGAAAAAATTGGTTCTGAGTTTTACATGAGGACAGGGAAGGTGGATGAGGTCCTAGCAATTAACAGAGCTATAAAATGTTTCTAGTATGAACAAACTAATGATTTTGATGCTGGAATGAAGTCTACTTTAAATTTTCCTAGAACTTGAAGGGGGGAAGTGAAAAATGAGGCATAATTAAGGCTGGCACATTTACTTTAATACTGCATAGATCTATTTTCTGTCTTCATTACCAAGGGAATTTTTTCAGTTGCTGTCATATGAGGATGCTCGTCAGATAAATAGCTTGTCTTGATGTTACTCACTGAAATGCTTTGACTAATGTGTCTTTTCTGTGGGATTTCTTTGGCAGACTTGTACAAGCTGACTGCTGAGCTTCTTGGTGAGGGAGCATATGCCAAAGTTCAGGGTGCTGTCAGCCTCCAAACTGGGAAAGAATACGCAGTAAAAGTAAGTATAGAGTAAAAGCGGCATCACTTTTGTCTTCTCCCTCCTAGTTTCTCAGTGAAAACCTGTAATAGGGTGGGTAATAGCAAAACCTTTTAGAAAATTTTTGATGCTTGAAATGAGCCTGCTTTATAACTGTTATCTGTCGCCTTAAGTATTGTGCCTCTGGAGTGAAGCAGTTTATCAGGTGCAGCCAGAATTCACAAACAGTGAATGACTGTGTGATGGTTAGATGTCGGGGCAAGCTTTCCTCACATGTCCTGATTTGATTGTAGTCCTACCAGTTTTTATCTCCTATGAAAGAAGAGGCAAAGTCATTATCTAGTGTGGCCTACCAAATAATGTGAGCTTTTGAGAATGCTGCTATGAGTTCAGAGAGCATCAGTTACTGCCATTAGTTCATGCAGTGCTGTCTCTTGTTTTTTGGTAGAGGTGGAATCTTCTGTAATACTGTTATATTAGCTATTAGGGCCCATTTACAGATTTGTGGTTATCCTGTGTCTCCTATTTAATTACGGTCACAAATAATAGTAATAGGAAAGCTTTATGTTTGATTCTTTTGCAAAAACCTTAGGCACAAAATTTTAATCCCCTTTAAAAATCTGGTCCTGTAGATGCTATAATTTTGTGTGTACTTTGTAGAATTGTTGAAGTTGAAAGTCTGGAATAAACCAACCACTATACTATGGATTAGATACCAAGTCCCGTGTAGTACTGCTGAATGATTGCTTGTTCTGTACTGGAGAACTCTGGCTGTAAAAATGAGAAACCGATACTGGATACAGACAATGGTATTATTTGAAGTAATGTCATGAGCTTTCCTTTCACGTAGCAGTCGTTCAGTCTTGGCCTCTGTGGAAAGCCTTTGTCCTTATCCTCTTTCATCTGGAGGAGTGTGTGAAGGAAGGTGACTTCTGATGGCAGCACAGAAGAGCTCTGAGGCTGAATATATGTTTTAATACAATAGGTCCTGTTATTTGGTCTCCATGAAGTTTGCAGTATGAACCAAACTCTCATTTTGTGGTGAATGTAGTACTTTTTACTTAAATGCCTAAAATGACAAAACTTCTTTTTGACTGTTCAACATGACTCAAATCTATTTTTGCTGGAACTCAAAAGGATATCCTTTTCTACACATTGCAAAGTTAAAATGATGCAAGAAAACACTTGTGGTAACTGTGTAATGTAGATAAAGTTCCTTTCTTCTCTTCCTGTCCCTGTTTCTCTTGTCCTTTGAATGCCTTCCAGAGCTCTGCTGATGCTGTAGATAAAGGACATCTGAGAAATTAAACAACCAAACAAAGGTGGAGTGTTTCTTTCTGGTGGGCATGCCTGAGATTCAAGCCTTAGATCAGTTACCTAGTTCCAGAGCCACATGCACAGTTTCTGCAGTAATTTTTCAAATATGAGCTCTAACTCTTTCCACAGATCATTGAAAAAAATGCTGGGCATAGTCGGAGTCGGGTTTTTCGAGAAATAGAAACATTGTACCAGTGTCAGGGTAACAAGTAAGTATAGAGTCTTGTGTTTGTTTATTTAAAGTATCTTGACTATTTTTTTCAAATTTTTAAGCCTGTTACGTTTGACTAGGTTAGGAGTTTTGCAGTATTCTCCTTAAAATCAGTTCAAATTTAGTCTTGACCTATTCAAAATAAGAATTTCCCCTTCTCTTACCTGTGAAATTCAGGGAAATATTTAAAAATTTCAGGTCACATAACTCAATTAGCAACCAGGTCAGTATAGCCTGAATGTGCTTCAGTGCTGCATGGCTTTTGTCTGAATGAGGAATCAACATTTTGACACACTCCTCTGATTTCACCATCAGCAAAAGCTGACCTGATACCAGATGCTCTTGAAAGGAATAGTCTTGCCATTCCTTAATATGTGGTTTGTCCTCCTCTGTGGCAGCCTTACAGCTTTTGCACTGGAACAGCTCATTTAGTTTTCATTTGGATGTGTGCTGACTTCATGTGGCCAGAGGGTGAAGCGGCTTTGTAGCTGTGACCTGAGTCTGAAAAGGAGGGAAGGGCTACGCAGCCAGTGGCAGCGTGCTCTGTGATGAGTTTAAACCAATATTGAAACTACTCCTTTAGATGTCTCTGTTAATCTAGAATGTATACAACAGCTGTTGTTTATACTACAGTTGTAAAGTTTATATCAAGCCTTTTTTTACAAATTTTTAGTATAACACCTAAAGAATTTAAGAACAAACTTGTTTAGCAAACTCATGGTCTTAAGTTGTGCTATAGAGAATCAGATTATACCTGATTATATGTGTGTGGTTAAGACTGTGTGGTTATCCAGTTCATAACTGATGAAAACATCAAGCTCTCATGAGCATGTGCAGAATTTGGATTTAGTGTGTAAGTGTAGAAAAATCTGACTTACATGTTTGACATTCTCAAGGCATTGTGGGGTGTTTGTGCTGCAAAGACTACGCTAGCTAAACAGGAGTGAGTTAGTCTAAGAATGGTAACTAAGGCACTGGATTTAATGTCATGTTGAGATGCCTGTCTCCTTTGAGCCCCTTATGTTCTGCCTTGTGATTTCCAGAGAGGAAGAATGCCAGTTGGGTTTTTTTTGTTGTTGCCGTCAGCACAAATGCGATGTTTTAAATTATTAAATACAACCTATTACCAGTTATCTTCCTGTCAGTTGAGCAGCAGCAGAACTCTCACAGTCCTGTCTGATTTTGGTGTTGGGCCTGTTTCCCCTGCTTAAATTTATGTGTGAGTTGGAAATGTGGTTTTAATGCCATAGGCAACCAAAGCAACTTGTTTAATTAGAACTCTTATATTTGATTACTTCTGGCACTTCCCAATTATCCATGCTGAAACTCTTCAATTGCTCTGTTTATGCTCTGTGCCTGTTTCTTCTATTTCCCCTCTTTTTTTTTTTTTTTTTTAAGGAACATTTTGGAGTTAATAGAATTTTTTGAAGATGACACAAGATACTACCTTGTCTTTGAGAAGCTGCGAGGAGGTACTGTGCAGTAACTGTGCCTTTGTGCATTGAATCATCATGATCCTGTTTGTCTCAGTGTTTTAAAGTAGAAACTGAAGAGCTTATTTTAAATGCTTGAGAATTTTAAGACGAAGTAGTAGAGGAAATAATATACAGAGCTTGAAGTATGGTTGTTCTTGAATATTGATGGGTCTGGTCAAACATTTGCAATCCCTTTCTGTAGTTAAGTGATGGAAATGTCAGCTCTGTTGAAGTGAAAGCTTTGGAATATAGTTACTAGGTCACAGTACCTTCGGGCAAGGGGAGACACATAGTATGTCAGGTATTATGCATGATCTTAGTACAGCATCTATATACTCTGGGAGCTTTCTCACCTGATGTAGGATTGACTTTGTTTCCTGAAACTCATGGAGCACTGTTGTGAAAAACATCTTGCTTCTGCCTGGGGTTGCTGTAACTGAAGCAGTCTGCTTGTGGCTGGCTGAGGGCCAATCAGTGAGCAAGTGTGGTCACTGGTCTCCAGCATTTAACACTCACCTGGGGAGTGAGAAGGCTACATAAAGCACTTTCTCATATTTGTCTGCATTGAGCATAATTACAGTATCCGTCAATTGCATGGCTGTGCAAAACCATGAGTTAAGTGTCACCCACCCTTCAAAGAAAACGTTCCTGAAGGAGTGTACTTTTGTCTGTAGAATATCATTTATTGTCACTGGTCATGAAGGTTTTCAGTAGCAAACCATATGTGCAAGAAATGCAAATTCTTGCGGGATAGATGCAGGACTTTTTAAAAAGAGGACACCTTTTTTTCTTGAGTAAAAGCTTTTGTTTACTCTCCCTTAAAATTACTGCATTTCGTTGTGATTTCCTCTAACACTGTCCCTCTTAATGCACAGACTTCTCTGACAAATTAGCTGTGATAGGGCTTGATTGGTACAAATCTGCATTTGTCTATTTTCCCATATCCACGTTCTTCCATTAGTTAACCCTCTTTGACTGCGAGACTGGTTGTCAGTGTACCTGCACAGCTGGTGAGAGTATGATAACGCTACACCTTCTTTCCTCTCTTAGCTACTGTTTTTACAGTGGTCAAGCAGAGCTGAGGCTAGTTTTCTCTTTGAACAATTTCAGCATTTGGAGTGTTAGGTATGTGGGTTAGAAAAAAGAAATAGTAGGAATTAAGGGTTGGACTAGCTTCTGATGCATTGCAGATTCTGATGTAAGCAGTGTGGCTGTCAAGAATGAGAATATTAATCTTCAATGCAAACTTTACTCCAGTAACTCCAGTCTCAGAGACTGGTGTTACCTACAATGTAATGGCATAACTTGAGCTTTCCATTTCAGCTTTGCCTTTCTGTAGCTGTGGTAACTGAAGGAGCTCTGCTCCTATTTTAGCTGTGTTTGGTTTGCCATGATATGCAGAAGCTGTTTAATATCCTTGCCTGACAGCATTTTATAATTGAAAGCATTAAAATCCAGCTTGTTGTACTGAACTTGCATGATTTAAGAGTCCTTTCCTCCTTTTTACTACTTTGAAATGCGATTTGGGAGGTGCTATATGATGCTTTCTCTCTGCTGAATACTGAAGAGGTGTTAACAGCTGTGGCAGGAGTGCCCTGCTATTCTTTCTGTTTGTGGGATTCCTCTATGTGGGTTGAATATAAAGTCTGTAGAGTATGTTTTCATTGATATTGACATAATTCTTCTCTGAGAGTTTGGAACATCAGCTCTATTCATAAGAGTAATTTTAAATAAACCTGCTGAATAAAATGAACACTTGAGGTGGCTTGGTATTGTTTCCTGCAGAGTCTGGGGTCTTTTCCACAGACATGGAAACATTCAAGAACTGTTACTACTTTCTAAAGGTGTAAAGAACAATTATACGAGGAAACCCCTTTGAACTCTGCCCCTAAGTAATCTGTAGCAAACTAGAAAGTGGTGCTTCCAGCAAGGGAAACGTTCTGTCTTTGAAATCTGATAACCTGGTCCAAAGTGGCTTTCTTCCACCTATCTGGCACAGCATATCTGAAGAGTCTTTTGTCCATCTTTCTTCTTTTTGACTGTCTTTCTTCTTTCCTCTCTGAATCCTTACTGTGAAGGAGTGGCAGAGGTATTGATGGTATAAGAATAGGAATTACTGCAACAGAGAATGGGAGGGTTTGTCCCACATCTTGAACTGAATAAAAAAAATTAAATCACCTGAGATATAAAGTGTTTGCTGTATTGGGGGCCAATAACAAAGGACAGTTACTCCTTGAATTTTTCTGCCAGATTGCTTTTATAAATACACCTCTCAGTAAGAAAATAGAAGACAGTAGTAAGACTATTTAGTGCAGATTTAATTGTTTTTTTAAAGATATTTTTATTCTTTTGAGAAGATTGATGGACTTCACTTAAAATAAGGAATCAAACCTCCCTTTTTCCTTTGTTAAAGGGAAAAGTGGAGCTCTGCTGCAAACTACCAGTCCTTCAGTGTATTCATATTTGAGAGACCTTTTGTCAGATTTCATGTCCCAGGGCACATTTTTGCCTTAAGTCAATGTATGAGCCTTACTTTGATGTCAGTGGGAGTTTTAATGTGTATTTAAAGGTAAAGGGTTGGGTTTTTTTGATGGTGTTGAGACAAAAAATGTGTATACTTGACTTTCAGTGCAGGGTCTCAATTGTCACATGACACAAAATGAGAAGAGTTAGTTTGAGCATGGCCACCTGGGACCTGGGGGAGGGTGGGTTTTGCTGAATGCTGTCTACTTCCTTAGATGATGTTTGAGTTTTACTAATACTACTAGCAAGTCTCTACTGTTCATGGTGTGTGGAAAACAGCCCAGTCGTGTGCTGGGGCAGTAAAAAGTGATTGCCTCTCATGCTGTGCTTAAACTAGAGGGCTGCAGTGTTTGAAAACTATGTTCTAGCATGCTTTAAGTATTAAAGCTGTTCAGTACCTTTTTCTTCTTAGTCATTTACCTGTTTGGTCCATGGAAGTTGCTTCCTGTGAAAGGCTGTTACAAAGTATGAGAAATGAGGATATGGATCCATGATACTTGGTACTAGTTCATCATTATTTTCTGAGGATCTTTTAGTATAAAAACATGGGATTATGACACTTCAGTTTCTGCCATGTAAACGTACTAGGAACAGAGTGTTAGCCAGTAACTTTTCTAAATGACTTCTGGCCCTGTTTGCACTGAGATCAGTTTTTCCTTTATGGCAGACTAGCAGTGTCTACTGTGTTTTTATCCTTGTATTGACAAAGCCTTTTCTCAGCCCAGGCAACATTCATATTAAGGTTTTCCTTTTCACCTGTTATTCTGACAGGTTCAATCCTGGCCCATATACAAAAGCGAAAGCACTTCAATGAACGAGAAGCTAGCAAAGTGGTGAGGGATATTGCCTCTGCTCTGGACTTTCTCCATACAAAAGGTAGGAAGAGGCTGTCTCCATCTTTACTAGTTGATATTGTACACTTAAGTTATGTAGCACATTTTATCTGTAAGTAGTCAGCCTTTGCTAGCATTTCAGCATAATATGGTAGCTTAAGTAATCAGCTGTGTTAAGGTGATATAGCCTTTTGAAGAAGAAAAGTTAAATTGTCACCCAGGGAGAATTAGCATTAGGATTGAATCAGTTTGCTTGTTCTTGTTACCTAAGCCACCATGTAAAGGTTACTCAAAAGGGAGCTGACATTCTTTTTAATTTCCTCCTCTTCCAGCTCTACAAAGATGCTTTTCTGTATTTACCTAGAATTTCTGCTGGTTACAAGACCTCTTTGTAGTAGCTTTTGATCTCCACATTTAGACCCCCACTGCTGGATTGAGAGACCTACGAGTGAACCATAGTCCTTGTTTGAAGGTGTCCTCATTTCATTTGGGATTTGTTCAGATTTAAAAGCAGTTCTGTTTGTAGAGAGTTGTTTTATGTTAAAATTTTTTTTTCTGCTGCTTTTTCTACTTGGGAATAATTTTTCATTTCAAAATATCTGTGTGCATTATGGTCATCTCAGATTATATGTTCGCGTTTAATGTGATAGATACCTTTAAAATCTTTCTTGTGTCATGGTTATCTGGTCTTGCATAGATTAAGCAGCTTCAGCTAATGTTATGATGACTACCTTTGAATAGAATGATACGTAATTGGAGACTGTTTATTGGTTATTTATTTTGATAAATTTTCTCTCCATTTGTTTTGTCATTCTAATTAGCCAGGTAGATCTCAGCAGATCTGCATTTGCTAAATTGTTTAGTACTGGCCCCAGTTCAGTAAACCTTTAATTGTAGGCTTTACTTGTAAGTCACGGGACTGCTTATATGCTTGAGTTGAAATCACAGCACTGGTACCCTGATAGGTTGAACCTATTAAAAAGAAAAGCATAGCAGTGCATAGGAAATTGAGAAGGTGGTAGACCTGAGGAATATGGATCTTGTCATATGTTGTGTGTATGTTATGAGAGGTTAATCTGAATGTGGAAAAAAATTTGGCCTGGATTAATATTTTTGGTAATCTTTTTAGACTGTCTGTGTGATAATTTTTAAATCTTCAGAGAATGCACTCTTTGATTCTAAAATTTTTTCTAAACACTCTGTGTTTAGAAGATTTTTACTTTGAGAGATGGGTCAAATAAGGAACAGGAAGCTTAGGCTGAACATGTAGAGAAATACTTATTTCATGTGCTAGGGCTATAGCAGGTTGCTTAACAGCTGAAGGTCTAGGAGCACTGTTCAAGGAAGTTTTAACATTGACTCGGCTAATGTCTTTCTGTAGTTCTCAGTCAGCTTTTAGTTTTAATTCCCCTTTCCCCAAACAAGAAGGGAGTGATTTGTTAAAATGGCTTTAGAGCACCAATCCACTTTGTTGTCATTTGCTGTGAATTGGTACGGTGGGGACATGGCTTGCAGAATCAACTACAACATCCCCTTTCATTTTATTGTTCTCTTTATGGTTCTTTCATGTGATATTAAAATAATTAGTAAGTAGCATACTAAACACTGAAGTAAACAGGAAATTAAAGCAATTTTATTGCACAGTTTAGTGGTGAAGTGCTGTAGCTAGATGCTTTAAAAAAAAATAAATTTGAATGAGGACAACTAATTCTTTTGCCAGGAATAGTTTAAAACTCAGCTGGATGATACTACTGCCTTATACGCACTTGGGATATGTGTGCTTTATTGCTAATAATCTGCTGGAGGAGTGTTTAAAGGCAGTTGTTTTCTTTGTACTGTGTGCAACTGCACAATAAAATGTTACATAATCAGACATTTCAAGTCAAACTACGTTACAAAAAAGCGCTGTTGAGTTTCATATTGCAAGCCAGGCCAACTGTTGGGCGTTTTGCTGGCCTTGCTGTAAATGTCAGCTCGGGTGATCTTGATTATGCCATCTTCCATGCTTAAGCAATGTGCACTGCATCATTAGGAAAGCTGTCATTCCTTTAGACTGGTGCTATGGTACGCTGCTAATGTTATATTTTAAATCAGGTTTTGTGGAGTGTGCTGAAAAAAAGACATTAGAAACTCCCTTACCTAGAATTTGGTGGGATATTTTCTTTCTCATATTCTGAAGTAGTATCAGGTATGCTTGGAGTATAATTTTTAAGCAAGGCTAGAGTGCATTTGAATTACGGCCAAGTTGCTCATTTGATTTGATTATTTTGCTTCTCATTTTCTGCCTTCCCATTATGTTTGATCATATTAAATGGAGAACTTTCAGAAATTGTGTGTTTAGGCATTTGAAGAACTGCTTTAACAGTGCAAAGTACCTCTGCATGTGAATTGTATGGGTAGATAACCTGCTGCTGCTTTCCTGTTGGATTTGCCTATTCCAATAGCAGTTGAAAAATGAAGAAGCCCTTTGGTGGTGATCCTGTAGCTTTTCTTCAGCATCTCCAACCAAACCCTTTAATTTTTCTTTTGCTTCAGCAATCACTGTTACAGTGATGATGTTTTCATCTGAGAATTCAGGGTTTTTTTGGGAAGAGTGTTTCATGTATTGTCTTTGTTAGTCGGAGTTCAGCAAGCACTAGTTGATCCATCTGGAAAGAAGGACCTTGCTGTAGAAGGCACAAAAATCTTTTGACTAAACTGTGTACACAAGTAAACTTTCCTACAGGTCAGTCATCCTAATAAGCTGATTTTAATTAACATAATTAATTTGGCTAAGCCAAAAAGTTACAGTGTTAGCAGGTTCTTATTTGCTTGACTGACTCTCATGGACATTAAAGGATGATAAAGGTATATAGCAGGATGTAACAGTGAATTTTAGCAAATACACTTTGCAATTAAATTATTTGCAGTATCATTAAGGGGAGTTGTGTAGCAAACTCAGGCCTAGAATATTTCCCAGGCCACCTTCTAATAGAGAGAAGTAATGAGAAATAAAACAGGAGACCATCTTCTGTAATGAACATTTGTGCTCTTGTTTAGGTATTGCTCACAGAGACCTGAAGCCTGAAAACATCCTGTGTGAATCTCCAGAAAAGGTGCTACTCTGGTCTCTTAACGTTCTGAAGTGTTTTTAACTTAGTTTCCAAAAAACAGTCATTGTGTTCTGTCTCTTCTCCTCTTGAAAACTTTTGAACCTGTTAGTGAACTTCAACTAAATTTAGCAAAACTGAAGCCTGAAAGTGACTAAATTCTTATTTGAGCTGCAAAAATGTGAGCATCTGACTAAGATAAAAACCTACTGTTCTTAGGGCATGGCAATAACAATTTAGCACCTCATCTGTTCTGAGGCAGTACCCAGATGGACGAGCAATATTTACAGGCCAGCTGGTCACATCACATATAGTTCCCAAAGTGCCCTGATGCATACTGGTGCTTGCCTAGCCAGATTTAAAAAATAATGCAATAGGGGCAGATGCTGGTGTCATGGGATCAACTGGGGCAGAGGTGGCAAATGCAAGGAGTGGAATATAGCTGCAAGAGACTGGGTTTCACTAGTCCTGATCCTAGAACAACTTGTGTTCTCTCCTGGGGTTTTTCCACGTGATGCTGTATTCATAAATATTGCATTAATCCCAGTCTTCTGGACCTCTTACTGTTCTGTCCTTGTTTTTAGGTATCACCAGTAAAAATATGTGACTTTGATCTTGGTAGTGGGGTGAAGCTGAACAGTGCGTGCACTCCTATAACTACTCCTGAATTAACAACACCGGTAAGAGACCTACTGTAGCTTCGTGCTCTTTCTATTCTACCATAAAACAATTTTTATCTGCAGAGGAGAGCTTCAGAGAGCTTACTGCAACTACACCCAGTGGTGGGTGGTTCATTTAAAGCAGGTGTATGTGTAATAAATACTGTCCTGGGTTCCCAGTCATAGAACAAAGATATAAAAATCACAGGAGCTCACCATGTTAATTCTCCTTTTGGCCAGAAAGTAACTCATGGATCCTGTTCATCTCTTACGCCATCAAATGAGGAATCTTTTTGTGGGGGTGTTTTATGTGCCCATGGACTGAATTTGAACCTTAATTTTGCATTCGTTTCCCTGGGTTTGAGTTCTGTACCTAAGACCTGTGAGCTAAGGGGAATGCAAGCTCTGTAATCATGTATGGCTTTATAATACACACTACTTTGAAAAACTACAGTGCTATGTTTTTGGCCTTACTGTGAAAGAAAAATGTGACAGTTTTGTGGGAGTCTGTTCTAGAAATCACCTCCCATTATATAGTTATTTACTTTCTGAAAAGTCTGGTAACTAATGGATAAGATTTAAAAACCTGGAATATGTAAATTAAAATTTTGACCCTGTATAAAGGATCATAGAATCATATGGAACAGTTTATGATCCTCCCAAAGAACAGTAGGAACTCTTTTACCCTCTGTTAGGTCTCTGTAGTCCTTACACCTGAAATGTGTTCATTTTTTTCATATGCAATCCGCTCACAAAATGTTTCAAAGCTCTTGGTGACTTCATTTAACCTTTGAGGGATGCAGCAGTTGCAATTTGGCTTAACAAAATGAGACCTGCAGTGAACGCCAGCAGTAAACTTCAGTAGTCCCCGATGCCTGATGCTGCCTACTATAAAGAGAGGAGAACGATAAACCTGAGTCTTGTATGGATTTGACCCTCCTTTTGAAAACTTAAGCTTGAATTTGTTTTCCTAGTGTGGGTCTGCAGAATACATGGCACCTGAAGTGGTTGAAGTCTTCACAGAAGAGGCCACATTCTATGATAAGCGGTGTGATCTTTGGAGTCTGGGAGTGATTCTGTACATCATGCTCAGTGGTTACCCTCCTTTTGTGGGCAACTGTGGCACAGACTGTGGCTGGGACAGAGGAGAAGTCTGCAGAGTTTGCCAGGTAAATGCATGTGTCCTGGGCATATGTGTGAGACTGTAATTTGCTCTGTGAACTTAGGGCATAAGACCTGCCATGATGCCAGCAGTGACATGCTGTGTGTGTAACCCAACCAGTTATCTGGGAGGATAAGCTGTGACTGAGAAGTGAGGGTGGTAATAGAACAGTTAAGTGATGGTATCTCTTTCTAAAGCAAGGTTTGGCAACTGCCACTGCCTCATCCTCATGTGAGATCTCAGAGCTGCTTCTCATCCTCTCCCCCACTTCGCAATCCTCCTGTATTCTGTAATTCTTGATCTGGTTTATGGTACTTGCCACAATTCCTCAGGTGAAAGTTGAGCCCCATGAGAGTCTTCGTGCAGGGCCTGCTTTTATTCTTTCTAAAAAACTGATTATATTGGCTACACTGTTACGGGGAAGGGGGGAAGGCGTTCTCAGCAGACGATGTGACATGTCCATCTCAGGACGCCCTGAATTGCTCTGTGGAGCTGTCTGTCACTGTCCATTGATTCCATAAGGACACTGGATGGTTTCAGTTGTCATCCACCACATTAAGTGGATAAAATCAAGTGAGAGGAAATGTCACTTGGGAAGTCTTCTGGTTTCACTCTAGTTGCTATTTAAATTAAAGAAACTTTCCTTTACTAGAACAAGCTTTTTGAGAGCATTCAGGAAGGCAAGTATGAATTCCCTGACAAGGATTGGTCGCATATATCCTCTGAGGCCAAAGATCTCATCTCAAAGTTGCTGGTTCGTGACACCAAAGAACGACTTAGTGCTGCTCAAGTTTTGCAACATTCATGGGTTCAAGGAGTATGTATCCCACTTTATATTTTTTAAGTGTTATTCTTCTTCCAGAGTGACAAACAAGCTGTTCCCTGTCTCTGAACTTTTAATAGTCATTGTGTGTTTTAGTGCTATTGATTAATTAAATGATACACAGTGGCTTTATTCTCTCTGGAGCTCTGTGTGGTAAATATTTGGATGAATCTGCCAAGCTTTAAGTGTTGGGTTGGGTTTTAATTATTGCTTTATGCATTTTAAATGGCTTTCTTGTGAATACCAAGCACTGCAGTACACAAATTATGATGTTACTCTTTATTACAGTAATGCAGAATGCTGGTACATACAGTTTTAAAGGAACAGCAGTGTCCTTTTTTGCTTTAGTTCCCAGTTCAGAACAGAAGGGATAGACTCTACAGAGCTTCCAAAGGGTTAGTCTTATACCTGCAAACTGTGGTGATGTCTTGTGAGAGGAGACGGATTATGAAATGTGATTTGTAAACCCACAGTGAATTAGTTTATATGCAATATCCATTGGTTGTAAAGATTTGGGGGAGTCACCTGTTTTTTATTACTCTCTCTTGGGAAAGCTTGGTTCTCAGCTGCTAACGTGTAACTAACTTTTCTTAACTGCTTCTTCTAGCAGGCTCCTGAAAGGGGATTACCTACCCCTCAAGTTCTTCAAAGGTAACTTTTTTTAATGTCTGTAAACTTGGCCAAGAATTATTACTGAAAGAATGGGGAGAGATAGGAGGTGACAAATCAGTGGGTGAGATCCCTGGTTGAGAGGGGAACTTCATAAATGTGCAGCATTAACTTAAGAACATCAGAAATATTGAAGCTCTGATTTTTCTTTGTGATCTAATCTTGCATGTTTGTGGGAAGGGCATTGGAGATAATTCCTGCAGTGCTAATCTTAGACAGGAAATAATGATGGTTTTGGCAGTTCCCTGCCCAGGAGGGGAAGAAAGGCATAAAGGCATGCATTATCCAAAGAGACTACTTTCTGATGGGTGAATAATCATCATGTACACATGAATCTGACTTCCATGCAGTTGGTGGTAATCACAGTATCAATTTAACTGTGAGCAGGGCAAGCCTCATTTAAAGTGATTTGATGGCAGATTCTGTATGCCAGGGAGCCTGAGTCACACTTCTCTCTATTTCCATGTCTGCCACTGGCAATTCCAGGTGGTTCTTCCCATCAGAAATGCATTTCCTTAAACTGGATGTGCAATTATAATGGAATTGCAGTTCTCTGAGGACAGACAACAGTATTGCCCCATGTGCCCATCCTTTTATAACATGTAGAAAATAAGCATGGCATCTCAGGTGGCTTTCTGGGTTTACATCGGAAGTCCATAGCAGAACTAGAGGACTAGAACCGTGGCTGTTTCCAAAATCCAGAGTGTTTTTTGTATGTATCGCTGGTCCTCGCAGTGAGGAGAGATGCAGATAATTGACTGGCCATTTTGCCTGCTGTGTCAGTGTTTTGATAGGAGAAATAAAACTGCCTGGAAGTAGCTATTCTGCTGTGAGGGTAACCAGGTGAAGTGACTCTTTGTGTGTGTTGTAACTGCTTTCTCCTTTTCCCTTGAAAGGAACAGTAGCACAAAAGACCTGACGCTATTTGCTGCCGAGGCTATAGCCCTTAACCGCCAGTTGTCTCAGCACGAGAATGAACTCAGCACAGAGCAGGAGAACGTTGCCCATGCTGTGTGCTCCATGAAGCTTTCTCCTCCGTCCAAGTCCCGCCTTGCCAAGCGCAGAGCAATGACGCATGCCACCAAAACCAGTGACTTTCAGCCAGTTCCCCATAAAGCTTTTTAAACTTCTTTCCTGCTATGGATTGGCAAGATCAGCCTGTGTTCTTATTTGGATTTTCAGCGCTGATAAAAGCTTCTCTGCTTCTGACAGTTTGATTAGAAGCTTGCTCTTGTGATGTGACTTGTAACTTTAAGGGGACAGCTTTTTATGAAAATGTTTTTTGCTTGTCAGATTTGGTGCATTAAGATAATTTAACTGATCTTTTTAAACCAGAGAAGATGGGTTTGCTGCTGTATTATCTGAGGTGATAAATCACTAAGCTTTCCTTATTTTCTTCATAGAAGAGCATGCTTTAAAATGTGAATTGGAAAACATCAGGAAAAAAAGCTTGCTTGCTTGCTTTCTTTGCCCAGCAGAGCATCATGTGTCTCCCTGCTTATGGCTGCTCTTGATGGCACATCTTGCAAGGTGCTGCTGCTTAGTGTCAGCAGCAGGGACTGTTTTTAACCAACAGTGCCCTTCTCTCCTCTGTAAACTCAGGAAATGAAGATGATGACTGGGTGGGTTTCTGTCTCCCATTACCTTCACTGGGCTTAAATTGTATGAGAATGATACTGTAAAGGTGCAAGGATCGCTCAGGCTTGTAGAGATGAAGAGGACCAGGTTGCTTTTTTATCCTGTTGGTAGTTTGTGTCAGCATGTGGAATGAAAGCTGGGGTTGTGTTATTTCTTTATCCGACATCTTTTTGTTCATATCTAAAATATAGTCCATATGATATCTTTTTTTTTTTTTTTCCGTATCCTGTATGTCCCCTTCTCTGGCAGTTGCATTCTTAAGTCTGATAACCACAGTATGTAACAGACCGTTTATATAAACAGTTTATATTTAGTATCTTTTTTTTTCTAAATTCATGCTATCCCTAGTTATACCTTCCATGCTGTAAACTCATATTTCTCCAAGTCCTTTTTTCTGTGTTATCTGGATGACTTAATGTGAATGGACAAGCTTTGGTGAATTTTGGTGTGTGAATAATTTAGTATTATCAAATGCAGAGGTACATCTGTACAAACATGGTGCTGCAGCTGTTGCAGTCTGCCTCCTGCAGTGATCTCAGGCTGGGTGTCTAGATTTTTTTCTTCCAGTTTTAATACTGTGGTGCACTGGGGTTAAGGAGTAACTTGGAAGGGTACTGGCTGAAAAGCTGAAGATTTTGAGTGACCAAGGTGAAGTGTCCATGGAGGAGGACACAGGTGTTGAGCACTTTCTGAAACATAAGCTGTGAAAATAGGGCCACTAAGATGCCCAACATGATGCACCTTTAAACTTACCAGCCATTTCTGAAACCCTTTGCCAGGGCATTGTGTGCAGGGTGGAGAGGTGGAGGAGGTGGCCCCCAGGTGCCAGCACAAAACCCTCCCAAGCAGAATGAGAAGGAATAAAGTAGCAGATCCAACAAGTTCTTGGAAGTTGAAAGGTCAAAGCTGAATGTCTTTGCATGGCCTATTCAGAGCGGTTTTACATTCTCTTTTAGCAGTGTGCATACAGCTATTTTTATACAACATGCTGTATTTTGTGACTAACATTAAAGTTGTTATTTAAAATATTTTATACATGGTGCCAGTGGACGGATTATGAGATGTATTTTCCTTTGTTTTTATTAAAATGCTTTAAGTTATGGATTTAACACATTTAGCAGTTCTGTGTGGTTTTTTCTTCTTGATTTTTGATGTAGAAAAATAGAGAATTGCTTACTTCCTTACTTCTCTGTGTGACATTGGATTTAAGGCAACTGAAGTCCGAAGACTAAGCATACCTCCCTCTTCTACTGCTGTATCAGTCTCTGGAGGCTCCTGTGATCTCAGCTTTCTCGTAAAATGAAGGTATGACTGCACAGAGAGGGCTGGAAAGGGATCCTGTGATCCTTTTGACCTTCATAAGAAATCAGGTAACTGAGGGCCATTGGGTTCAGGAATTTATCTGCATTGTTACATTTTACGTTCTTCCCTTTGATTTGTGCATAAAGCCAAAATCCTGAAGCTTGGCCAGGAGTGGTGGTGCGATGCAAAATACTCCTCTTGGATGGAGCCCTGAAGTCTTTCAGGCTCCAGAAGTCATTAGCATGAAAGTGTGAAAAGGGGCCATTAACGGTGCTGCTTGCCCGGAGACCACAGGTCTGTTGGATTTGTTCAAGTGTTGGTAAGTGTTCCTTTGCAGACTTTGCTCTGCACCTCCTGCCTTTTCCTGGTGGTAGAGGTAGCCCCAGAGAGTGAGTTAGTGGAGTGAAGACCAAAGCTGCTCTTCCTGTGTTCTGGGTGAATTATTGGTCTGGACAGTCAGTCCTTTCCTCCCTCTCTCCAAAACCTGGCATGGAAAGTGAATCCAATACACGTGTCGTCTGCACAGCGAGGAAGAAGCTGGCTTGCTAGCCAGCTTTGCTTTCTCTTTTGTAAAGAGAGCTTGTGAGGAGAGAGTGAAATGTCTGAAGAAAACAGTTCAGCAATATTCATGCCATTACCTTTGGCTAGTGGAACTGTGGTCTAGGCAAGCACTCCTGGCTTGAAGCCTTCTCCTGCATGAGGAGAACACTTCAGTAGTTGGATGTGTGCATTGCAAAGGATTTTAATCACTGGTGTGTGAAACATCAGAAGTGCCCAGCAGGATTAGCACTAAGGGGTTAAACTTTGGTGGTTATGATGAGCCTTTCACCTGATGGTTCTGGGCCCCTCTGGCTCTTGTGGTGCTCCCAGATGCCTGGAGGATGCTGCCAGCAGCTGCCTCTGTGTGGTCTGTGCTAGAGCATCCTTGCTCCCCACTGCTACATACTTGCAAACTCATCTGTTCAGGACTTGAAGGTACGATGTTGGGCTTTTCACTGAAGACCTAAATCCGGACATGCTTTCCTCCTGCAAGACAATAGCCTCTGGCAGAGCGGAAGGCGAGCAGCAGGTAGCAGTAGATGTCAGACCTGTGTAATGCTGTGAACTGAGAAAACCTCTCCAGTCAGGGAAGAGGGGTTGGTTTAAACCAATTGTTCTGCTCTCTGCTGTAGTCTAGCTGTGACTGCCTCTTAAAAGTTTTTTTGGAGGTCTTTGGCTGACAGTTTATAGTAGAGTTTGGGTGGGGAAATAGGTTGCAGCACTCCCCATTGCCCTGTGATGCTTGTGCCTGGCATAATCAGATCAGTCTATCTGTGACAGATATGGCGGGTTTTAGTTCCTTTTCCAGTTCCTGAATAGAGCAGGGATCCCAAACCAGGTGGCAGGCCCTTTATTAGTACTCACCTTTCTTTCAAAGGAAATCTGCAATATTCACTTCAAATGCTTTTGTTTGAGCTGTGCTTTAAAACCATCCGCTTCTCCTTCCCTCTTCTTCTCAGGCAAGAGAGGTAGCAGAGAGCACAGGAGACCTTGTAGCAGTGGTACAAGAGTGATGTTTCAGTGATACAGGTCTTGAATCTTTCTTTGCCCCAAAATGAGAAGTCAGATTCAGGTGATGGTCCAACAGTCTCTCATCACAGGTGCCTCTTTCCCTCTGATCTTTATCTTTCAATGAGAGTTCAGCTTTCTTTAGGTGTTTTATCCTCAGAAGGCCTAATTTGGTAGGCCTTCATGTTACTTTTTTCATGTCAGTGGGGAGAAGGCACTTGTTTCTATTAGCAGGGAAGTCACTAAATTCAGAGGCTCTGTGATCTGTCCTGTTGAAGTAGTGCTGGTTTTGTTCATGTCACCTGAGTGTCTGTTGTTTGGGCAGCCTGTAGAACATGACTCTGCTTTATTGCTGAATCCCACAGTCTCTCATTTGGAAAGGGCTGAATCTCTGTGCCATGTTTAGTTACTGCTTAGTTACACCAGTTACTGGTGATAAAATGCACTAGGCAGCTTATGTGGACTCCCTGGCTTCTGAAAAATGAAAGGGGCTACAGAAAATGTCTTTTTGGTGGGGAAATGAGGTGGGTAAGGCAAAAGGTGACTTTCAAGAAGTCAAAAATACATTCTGACCAGCAAAGCAGCTAAACTGCTGCTTGATGTTTGGTTAAGGTGGCCCCTGGGAAAATTTTCCTTTCCTTCCCCAAGCATTTCCTGGAGGTGGACAAGCAAACCAAGGGAGAGGTATCAGCATGATTAAGGGTGGGTAATTTCAAACAAATGGCAAGCAAACAGCACTAGTCTCAAAGTACCCCACTTTTGTCCCCTTGGGAGCTGGTGGCACAGGATCCTCTGTAGGATTTTGCAGACCTTTATGTGCAATATTTCACAAAGTGTATTCAGCCTTGTGCTTTCCAATGTGGTTTCTGCATTGTCAGTTGCATAAAAGGAAGCTGCTGTTTTTCATTGTGTGGTATTTTCTTCTGCTCTCTTTCTTCTCCACGTGTTTATTGAATCCTTTATCAGGGATGGAAAGATGCCTTTATTTTTTTGAGGGCTGTGGGTGGGCTGGCTTTCAAGGTAGAGAGCAGCCTGGTTAATTTTCAAAACTAATAATTTTCTTTGGGCCACTCCAGTGGCAGCAACAGGCTTCAAATTTGGCTTCCATGGAAACATACTGCCATGGTAACTGAAAGGCCTGACAGTCCTGAAGAAATATTTGCTTGTACCCTTCCTTCATTCTGTTTCCTGTGTGATGTGTGTGTTTGGTTACCCCTGCCAGATTCAATCAGTGCATTTAAAATGCTCCAAGCACAGAAATACACTTCACTGGGAAGAAAACAATAAAAGTTGTAAAAGCAATGGTGGCATTTCATTGGCATTGTTTGGGGGGAAAAAAAAAAAAAAACAACACACAAAAAAACCCACAAAAAAAACACCCCAAAAAAACAACCAAACAAAAAAAACACCCCACACCAAACAAAAATTTTAGGGAGACATGACTGAGCCACAAATTCCCTTCCAGTGAGGGAATAAGAACTCTAAAAGAAATGCTTCATCCTTAGATTATTTTGTGGGGGTGGGCTGGTTCAGAGAACTAGACCTTGCACCCAATCCAACATCTGTAACGCTGAGAAGGGTGAGGATTGACTCATCCAGTGCTTATGAGACAGAGTACCAGGGTTTTGTTGGTTCCCTTCCAGCTAATTAATTTGATGCTAGATTTTCTGTTGCTGCCTGTCACAGCTGCTTTCACACCAAGACTGGTTAGCAAAGTTTGGCAGGGTGACAAGCAGCCCAAGTTCAGCAACTTTGCTCTGGTTGTCTGGAGTGGGAGGGAAGAGGGAATGGGGCCTCCTGAAATGTGTTGCTAAGTGAGAAGCAGGGTGAGGCCAAGGACTCTGCATGGCAGAGAGTGCAGAGAAGCTTGGAGTCTGATGCCTTCTGTTTGATCCAGAGCAAAGCTCATGACCTCACCTGGCACCACATCCGATCAAAATCCTATGGCCAGTTATTAAGCAACACTATGTATGTGTATGGGCATGAAACTTATGTCCCCCACTCTTCCCTTACCCTTAATCATCACTCTCTGGACTTCAGAGACTTTCTGGTCATCCACCGTGAGAACTGTAGTGCCTGCACCCAGCTCCAGGCTACCTGTGGGGAAAGCAGGGTTGCCTCATTTCCTGCTCCTTTTTTTGTTCCCCAGTTTCACTCTATTCTTCATCCAGACGTTCCCCTTGCAGAGGCCCTAGATCAGCTTGCTTAACCAGAGGGTGCTCCTGCAGACTGCCATGGCCTCTGCAGACTGATGTGGAACAAAATAGAGAACTTGTGGAGCTACATGTAGCAGGAGAGCAGACAGACTGTGACGCAGGTTGGTGAATTGGGAATGTGGGAAGGGTCAAGTCCTGTCCTCTTCACTCAGAGAGCTGGGTTATAGGAATAATCCCCATATAAACTGTTCGAGCTTTAAAAGAGTTACTGGGGCCAATAAAAGGTATATTTATGTGTCTGTACTGATGTTTTGTATTGCTTAATTGCAGCTGGCTTGACCATTGCACTAGGTTGTTTCATGGTTGCTGTGCCTGCTGTTTTGTATTAGAAATTAGAATTGCCTTTGGGGGTACTACCTGCTAGCTTTGGGGATGCAAGAGCTGCAACGTCCTTTTGTTATGAGCAAAAATAGCTGTTTGCTGGAGATCTGTGTGGATGGTCCTGCTTGTCATTAAGCTTTGTCAGGGGCTTTTGTTGGTGACACCAACAATCCAGTTGCTTCTGGTGATGGTGGATGAAGCAGACCAGCTTCTCTAGCAGAGGGGAGCTGAATGAAAGTGAGAGGTTGCATTGGGTTGAGACAACAGGTGATGCTGGAGAGGGATGGTCCGAAACAGCTGCACTCAGCACTGTGGATTGGATTCCTTTTGATAAGTTACAAGTGAGTATTGTGGTTTTTTTCTGTGTCACATTATCCATGGGGACATGCTGTTTTTCAGAGAAAAATGTATATCCCTACCATGAAAATATTTGTGGAGCAAATACCTTCCATGC